GAAAAGATTTAACTTCAAATCAATTAGAAATTTGTTAGGATTAAAGTTGATATTGCATTGCTTCATTGAGTTAATATATACCAAAATATTCTGTCACAGGCAATTCTGCTTGGAAACTTTCATATGGGAAATTTTTACACCGAATTTCAAAGTATCCTTTCACGATTACGTAACACACTCCACAGGTCACATGCATTTTTTGCTCTGAACAACTATCGAATAAACTGTGCAAAACAAGAGAAACAATCGACTACAGCACAAAACTCGTTTATGTATTTCGGTTCAGTAATTTTTTGATAATATCTAAGCTCTTACCACGTGTTTAGTTGGCTTCTGTTTTATACGAACTCCTTCAACTGAAGCTTCTTTGATAGTTCTCTCCATGATCTAGAACTCAGGTTGTGGTACACAAAAAGTTACACGCGCTTAATCAGACTATTGATTTCTGACTAAACTTCAGTGTGTTCCTTTGCTTATAAACACACTGAACCACAGCTTGACGTTCCAAGGGCMTGACGTATAAAATGCAACGAATCGTAACAAATAATGGCTATGTTCACGAGCATTTTTTGCCGAGTGTATGTGTCAATTATTATTGTTATCATGCGTCAGAGCGGCCATGTTTGATGAAGAAAGGAACAAAGCATTCCTAACTAGCTTCTCTTGTTCCTTCATCCAAAATGGCGGATGTAGTTTTGTTTCTTTTCCTCGAGGGATTCTTTGTTTTGTCGTTGAAAACAATTCAAGAATTCAATAACAACAATAACAGCTTTATTCGCTCAGAAAGACTGAAAAAAATAAATGCGTAATATATAAAAAACAATGATATTTTGAGTATATCGCGAGTATATGAGCAGATGAGAGCACGATCATTTAGAAATGAATGTCGATATTTCATTAATTAATTAGACAAAAACTCGAAAACGAATGGCTTAAATAAACGAAAAAAGAGCCAAYGATGTAAGAAATTTAGCAGGATTTCAAGGGCAGAATGAAATAGTGAGGCTAACCCATTGTTTCCAAAAGCCTTAAAAGCATTAATGAGCGTTGTAGTCTCAATGCAAATATTTTTTTTTATATTCTTTATTAGAAACCAACTTTTTCCCGATATTTCCTTTGCTTCATTTGCATATTCAGCATATTTTCACAGGGGTCTGTTGCTTAAATAAAGGCAGCKGTCATCCTCTTGAAATTCGAAAGAATGAGGTTACACATGTACGAAATATTTAGGATCTGGCACAAACTGAAATTTCTTATGAAACTATGGTTTGCCATAAACTTTCAGAACTCATTACGCCCCAGCATAAYAATTTTTAGCAGGAACGTTTCCTGCTTGGCTTCGATCACGAGAAGGTCACATCATCACCACCCACTGTGTGGAAAGGTTATGAAATTAGTGTACWAATATAGTACATTGGAGGACCAATCACATCCTGGCGCACAAATRATTGAATGTCATTATTACAAGTCCACATTTAAGTCGATCGGCGTTCGTAACTGAAATAGTTCCAGCTAAAAAATGGATAATTAAACAAAGCTACTGCTGTCGTGTGTAATGAAATAGGGAGATGACTGCATGGAATTGTGTAATGACCGGAATATAGGGAGCTACACTTTTAATATCTTGGCCAATATTTCAAATTGTCATATATCCCTTGAGACTAAAACGACAAAAAAAAAGTCATGGATCAATAGAAAGAAAATCGTTTGTCCACTAACGTCAATCGTGGAATTGTGCAATGAACGACCGTCATATATAAATTTTGCTACTTTTTTGATATCTTGACCAATAGTCACCTTAGCATATATCCCTTCAGACCAAAACGACAAAAAAAACTTTGTGTATGAACGTCAATGTTGGAATTGTGTAATGAGCGTCATACATTTTGCTATATTTTTTATATCTTAGCCAATAGTCACTGAGCATATGTCCTTTGAGACCAAAACCCCAGAGAAAGGGGGATAGCACTTCACGATTTTGCAAGATCTTATCAAATCTACTAGACATTTGCTAAATAAAATAAAACAATAGGCCGATTTACGAAAAAGGAAGCCTTGAGCATTACTCTTGAAGTATAACAGGAAAAAAAGTCATGATCAATAGACACTATTCGCAGAAAGTCCACCAAATAACCGCAAGCCACGCGTTGCTGCTCTGCCTTTGTTGTGAACACCGCTATTTTTCCGCCGACCTTTGTTCATGACTCTCGAAACCAAAACCATGATACAGTAATATTATGGCGTTAAACAGCTTACAAGAGAGTTCACAGTTGCTTAATGCAAATCGATATGTAACATACTCCATGTTAGAATTCAAAGCAAAATAACCGCTGTTTTTTTGGCAGCAAATTTTCTTACACAAAGAAATTACCAAACCTATACGTGCGTCATGTATCTACATGCTTTTGCTATGCGATAAAACTTCACAGAATAGAAAATAGCTATAATTTAAATACACTATAAACGAATCACTTTTTCAAATTCATAGCGAAAAACCGCTGCTCTATTTGACAACAAATTCTCTTCCGCAATGATCTTGACAACCACAAAAGATATCACGAGAAAATGTCATTATTAAGATRGTCAGTTGAAAGTTTGCATTTTCACAGAGCTGAGAATAGCTCTGTATTGCCATTAGAGCTAAGTTATAAGATTTTGGGAACACAGGGCTTTGTCTCAACTCAGGGAAAATGTAAATTGTTAGCGCTATTGTACTTAAAACATTTTTCGTGCTTTTCTTACCGACGGATAAGTTCTGTCTGCCAGTCAAAAGACATGAAGCGCGTCCCCCGAATAGTTCGTTATTCAATGCATTATTGGATTTTTCTTTTTCTTTTTCGTTAATTAAATTCAAATCTCGAACAAATTTCGAAGTTTGAATTCAAATTTGATTTCAATAATGTAAWTTTGAATCGACCAAGAATCGAATAATGAATTAAATAATRGTGTTTTGCTTGCTTCATGTCTTTTGACTGTAAGGCTAATATCACGATATCATGGTACCGTTTTCTTTATCGTGGTCTACAAGTACTGATATTTCAGAAACAACCTGGGAGATTGCTTTCATATCTCATGGTTTTGATACACTCTCTACATATCCTTATACATGAACATTTCCGTTGTCCATTGTTTTGAACTGAAAAGTCTGAAAGTATCAGTAATATAAAAATTAGGTAAAACCTAATAGCGGAGCTCCCAAAAGATATGCATGTTGGATGAAGATGTGATGCAAGACACATTGGTCAGATTTTGAGTACATGTTTTGTCAAGACTAATTTATTTTTGCTAACAAAAAAAAATCCATGGCACTACATTAAATAATTATTAAACTTTTTCTCTTCAGCTTTGTTGATGCAAAGCAGTGATATATATAATTATATGTAAAGAAAACCACGTATGTTGAATTCTTCTGGTTATTTACCAAAATAAAACTTCCTTAGATAATCTTACAGAAATCATAAATTAATATTA